TAATAGAACCAAATATGTTGTTTATTAATACAAGTGATGAAGGTACAATCAATGTCTTTAACTCTTAACCAAACATCCCACTTCATCCACCATCAACCACCAACCCTCTCTCCACCCCAAAATCCAAAACTCCCCAACTCTCCAACCTTAAAACTCCAATCTCCCTCCTCCTACTCCTGCACAGAATCTTATCTCCTGTGACTCCGCCTCTCCAGCACTCTTATTAGTCCATGCAGATGGCACATTAATATTCATGACCTGGGCAGACGTCACAGCATCTAACACGTCTCTATAGAAGTGCAATTTAACCACTTACTTCAAAATTCTACAACTGAAGACTGGATGACAACAGGTCGCACATTTCTGATAATAAAAGATCATCCAAACGAACCACTTACTTCAAAATTCTACAACTGAAGACTGGATGACAACAGGTCGCACATTTCTGATAATAAAGGATCATCCAAACAGCAATGAACCCAGTAATTATCAACTAATTACATGCCTTCCAACCATGTTCAAGCTCCTCACAGGAGTACTTTCAAGATCTATGCATAAATACTTAACTGAAAACTCCCTATATACAACAGAAAAGGAACTTTAAAAGGTCAAGGGGCACAAAAGATCAGCTGCTTATTGTTAAAATGATCCTGAAGAATGGAAAAATATGAAAAACAAACCATAACATGGCTTGAATAGACTATAAAAAGGCATTTGATTCATTGCCACACAGCTGGATTAACATTTGCCTAAAAATGTTTGGGATCAGTAAAAACATTCAGTCAAAATCTTGTTGGATTTCAAGATCCAAACAGATAGACACCTTGAACATAACACACCAGACATCGTAGTAACAGAACGAAGAAATGTCTGGACCATTGACATTGCAATTCCAGGGAATGCCAGAGCTGAAAATAAAGAATTGGAAAAGCTAACAAAGTACAGAGACCTGGCAATCAAAACATCTCACCTCTGGAAGAAATACACTTCAGTGGTCCCTGTAGCCCTTAGGGCTTTGGGAACAGTATCATTTCACACAGTACTATAAGCAGTTGCAGATCTCAAAAATCACTCCAACAGAGCTACAAAAAATGGCAATACAGTGGTGCCTCGCATAGTGATTGCATCGCATAACATCGCTTTGCGATGAAGATTTTGCGATCGCTTTTGCGATCCCTTTCCAATGTTCCCTATGGGGGAATTTCGCTTTGCGATGATCGGTTCCCTGCTTGGGGAACCGATCATGGCAAAGCAATGCTTTTTAAACAGCTGATCGGCGCCACAAGCAAGGCTTTTTAAACAGCTGATTGGCGCTGCACTAGCCCCCCAGAGCTCCTGCATAAATAGGGGGAGCGGGAGTGGGGGCACTCCGGATAGGTGCCTCGGGAGGAGGGAGGGGAGAAGGGGCGAAGGGCCTGGCCCCAATCCCCGTGCGCACCCCTGGGGCACCGAGCCAGAGAACAGTCATGGTGGGAGGTGCTGCAAAGGAGGAGGTGCCCGCAGGGGAACGGGATCAGGGCTGCAGTGGCTGGATGGGGGGGCGGCATGCCAGATATCCCCTCCTTGCCCCATCTGCACCCCGCCAAGGAGACCAGGCATCCAGGGTTGGCTGGCTGGTGGTGGGTAGTGCGCCCCTTCCCGCCCCGGGCAGCTGCCTGCCTCTGAGCCCGCCACTCA